ATATAAACACATGGCACCAGGCAGGGCACCCCAGAGAAGCCCTCCCAGAGGCCAGGCTGTGTCAGACACAGCCACCAAACTCTCCAGGAGTGCGAGTGAGGCTCAGCCCCTCCCTGTGTCTTTGTGCTTGACAGCCTCCAACAGCGTAGCTCCATGGATAACCTTCACCTCTGAGAGCTGCTGCAGCTGATGTCTGCTAGCTTTGAGAGCCAGCGGGTCACTGAACGCTGCTCATACTCATGGCACTGTTCCAGGCTCTACAGACACCCACTACAGCCCTTTGCAGGTACCTTTTCCAGCCTGAAAGTCCTGGCCTTGCTACTCAGTCCTTGCACCTAAGTCATTGCACACAGCTGATGATGTCTCTTTTGGCCTTACTAGGCCTATGACTTGTACATCCTGCTTCTAGTTTTGTGTGTTGTTTGAGGTGAGATCAGGACATAACACAGTATGTGAGATGCAGGTGAGCCCAGACACATCTAACAGCATTCCTAGTTTTGTGCTCTTTTCCCTTCCCTTCCCTTCCCTTCCCTTCCCTCTTTTATTTTTTTTTCGTTTGCCTTGAGAGCAGTGTTTTCACAGCAGTACCTACTACAGCTCTGAGTGGGAACCACTAGCTCAAACCTCCCCACTGTGTTTGTGCATGGAGTCAGAATTCTCTGTAGTGAATGCTTGCCTTAATAACCTGGCCACAATAAGTGCAGGCAGGATACAGGTAAGCTCTGCTCCCCAGAAATACTATCAATAGAATCAACCAGAACAGGTCAAATTCTGTGACCAATACTTAGCCTTTGATCTCTTCATGCAAACTGCTAAAAGAAAAACAATCAGTGCCATACATAAAATGGAAAAAATTAGAGTAAAATAAAATGCTTTTCCCTTCTCCTAGATATCCCTCTGAAAGGAAAAAAAATCCACTCATAATGCTGAGATGTAACACTTGCCTCACCTTCCAAATCCAAGCTCCTTAGCTTCAGAATGGCATTAAGATCTTCAATTTCTTCATGTAGGTTTGCATTTTTACTGAGATTGAATATGGGGAGCTGTGGCTGTAATATTAAAGAATGGCAAAGTTTCCAGAGTTATCTCTAGTTTACACAGAGCACCATGGCAGAAACAACATGTGATATTCAAAATTGTTATTTAAAATGAAGAAAAGGGCATCTTTGATTTTGATCTTTTGCATGTCCTAGGACACTTTGGACATCAATCTTAGGTGTACAGTTCCTTCAGCTATGCTGCTGCTGAATAAATAATGTGTAAGAGAGGCTAATGAATACAGCTGGGAAGCTTCTCACTTTTACTCTGTGCTGTCTGAAACAGAAACACAAAGAAACCAACATCAAAAAGAAACAAACCAAAGCAGAGATGGGGAGATAAATGCCACAACTTGGATAACATCTCTTAAATGTCCACAAAAATCTTGTCTTGCAGTAGTTCTGTGAGGCAGTATTCTGCTGAGACATCCCTTGGGCAATGTTTCAGCAGATGAAACCCCTCCCACTGCCCAAGTACATTTTCCCAGGACATTCTCACACTCCTTGAGGATGACCATGCTCTGTGGAGCACTTCCACACAGCCTCTCAAATTCCTTTTTCTAGCTGACAAGGCTACAAAGGACACTGTACCCTTGCTCACTGCACTCCCTGACTTACAGCATGCAACTGCAAAGGAGAACAAGCAACCCTCACGTTTGCTGTTGTGGGGTTCCCATGCCAAGCCCATCTGGCTCACAGCATGGAGCCTGCTGAGTGAGGCTGCTCTGACCCTGAGAGGAGGCTGTGGAGGCAGGGCAGATGGCAAAGCACCATTTTGGAAAGGCCACTTGCAAATGTGCATCCACCCTGCCCACAGTGGGCACCTGCTGCGTGGAGATTCGCTGCAGGTGAGATTACAGAAGTGATGGATGGCTACAGGCAGTGAAGGACAGTCTCCAGCAGGAGACAGCTCCTCTCAGGAAGATGTTTCTGTATGCCCTCGGGCAGGATGCCATGTAGGATGCAAGCAGCTGTAACATCTGTCAGAGATTTTTGTTCCATATCCTCACTGGAATGAGGAGGGGCAGATACCCAGGTATGCAGAGGTTTTCTTCAAGGAGGACTCTGAAACATCCATTTCATTCACAGATATGCTACCAGTCCAGCTGGGACCACCAACAGCCAGGATTCTTATGCTGCTAAAATTTAGTAAGGATTTGTCTTTTAGACAATGTTGTGGAGCAGAAAGTATTACATCCATAGTTCTGTCACAGGTAGAAAAATTTGGGGACATCTATTCAACCACTGATTGCAAGTCACTTCAGAGACAGATTTTGTGGGGAAATTGTGATGGGACTGCCAGGAAGGCTACTAGAGGTTGCTTTCGCACCATTTTCCCTGTGCTTTCATAGCTGCATCCACGCACAATTCCTCTCTAGATGTGTTCTGAGCAGATCTGTTGAACAGCTTTTAATTTTTTGTTTTTTTCAGAGAACACAGTGAGGAAGCAAAGGGAGACAACCCATCCTTTGATCAGCATCGAACTCCAATTTATTGATTCAATATGCACATTTTATAACCGTGTTAATTAAGTTCATACATATTGCTAAACCCGAGCTCATCATTGGCTACAGATTATACATCAACCCCTCCTTTTGTTTTCAATACCTGTGGTTTGTTATTGAGACCAAGACTTGTTTTTCTCATCCTGTTATGAAGGGTTCTCAAGGCCTCCATGTTTGTCACTTTGCTTTCCCATACTATCCAAGGACAAGGTATTTACTTGTTATTAAAAAACAACCTGAGAACTCTGATGTTTACAGGAACGTGCTTGAGAATTTGCTCCTCACAGCTGCCTTTTACTTTTCAATCAGCTGTATATGATTATGGCATGTCTGAACAAAACTCTATATGCCATGTCTGAGCAAAATTCTCCAACAACACAGCATGACCCTTTCCAGACAAAGCAAACAACCAGGCCCAGCATTCCCAAAGAGCCCAAAGGGACTGGGATTGCAAGAACACAGGAGCAGCTTTCCTCTCAAGATCATTTCTTTCTTTCATTCTCCATTCTGCACGGGCAGGTTACTCAGGATGAATCATGATTCTCTTCCTTGGGCTCTGAGTGACAGCTGCAGCCTGCATTTCTGGGTTCATCCTGGGCAGCATCAAAGCCAAAGTGACCATGACCAATCTGAAAATAACATACAGAAACATAACTCCTTGGCAGAATAATTTGGGAGAACCATCTTTGTTAAGAGATCAGGAAAAAAAACTAATGTGAGGAATCAAAGAAAGATTCTGAAGCTGAAATGCTGTGCTTTATGCTGGAAGTTAATACTGAACTGTGCCTGAGAGAAGGAGGGCAGTGAATACTGCTTTGACCTGCAGATGGAAAACCATAATATGGGGCTGTGGATTTGGTCTTAAGCAGAAGATTCCACATTATTTTTTGCTGATGCTAGAGCCACCTCCCTGAATACTAAAACTGCAGTCCATCTCCCTGCCTTGAATGCAAGGCAATGTTTACGTGATTGAAATTCACTAAACAAGCAACAGCTGAGTGAAAAATGAACTGAAAGCAAACATAATTGCAATTCCCTCTTTTATGCTTGTTTCTAGCCATACTGTGAAATAATTTACTTTTTTTCTTTAAGGTCTAATTTTATTGATTGTAATAAAGAATGGGCATATGGACAGAAAACCAGAATCTCTTACATAATACAACTGTCACAGACATGAATGCAGCAGCCTAATGGATTCTCAGGGTGTTCAAAGTCACCAATGTATAAATTCTTAGAGCAGCAGTTTCCCCTAAACCCACCCAGATGGATTCAGCTCCTACAAGGGGCAGTGTCACTGCACTTAGCCCTTGACAAGCCACCAAGAGCTTCAAGCTCAGCCACATCCCTTTGTGCTTCCCCAACAGAGACACACACAAGCCTGCAGTGCTAGAAGTGCTGGGGAGCCCCAAAGCTGCACCTGTAACACATTTCAGCACCCACACCTCAAGCAGGGACATCACAACTCATCCCAGGTCCATGGGGTCAGAAGAAAGGGAGCTAGGCACAGTGTTCCACCAAGCAGCAAGGCCTGGATTGAGGAACACAGCACACAAGGACACGTGAGCCCAATGAATGCTACCTGGCAGCACAAAGGACATTGTACATGGGTGGCTGCACAGGGGCACACTGCCCCACAACAACACCAAGGAGACCTCCAGCAGCATGGCAGCACAGTTATGCTGCACTTGGGAGGAAAAGCACTGCTCAGGTCTATGAATCAGGGAGACCTAACCTCTTCATGAGGAAGATGTAGCTCAGCCAGCATAGGTGAGATGCAGCAGCTCAGCAAGGGACAGCAAAAAGACCCTGTCCCCCATCCAGGCTGGGTCTCACCCCAAGTGAGGAAATCCTGCTGGGGGCTGCAGGACTCAGCACATTCTCTTTGGGCTGACCCTCTGTCAGCAGTAGTTTATCCCCAAACCCCTGTGGTGCCCATGCACTCCAGGCTGGTGTGAGGGGCCCCTAATCCCACAGGGCCTGCAAGCTGCACACAGCCAACTGAGCCAAACCCACAGGGACCCTCGAATGGGACTTAAACCCCACAGGGCCACCTGTAAGGGGCCCAAAATCTCACAGGGCTCCCTAAGCCAGACAGTGACAATTACCCTCAGCCCTACAGTGTCCCTAAGCCCCACAAAGGCCAGCTGCGAGCGACCTTATACTCCAAAGGGCTGCCTAAAGCACACAGACCCAGCAGCAGAGCGACCTTAACCCCACAGAGCCAGCTGCAGCCGACTCCTCGATGATCAGCTGCATGGTCAGCTGCAAGGAACCTGAGCTCCACAGGGCTCTCTACAGCAGGCACAACCTGCTGCAACAGGCCCTGACCCCCACAGGATAGAGAACACAGCACCCGCGGGCCCCTCAGCACGGGCGGCAGCAGCCGCGGGCCCCGAGCCCGCCCCTGGCACGGGAAGGGGCGAGCGGCGGCAGCGGCGCCTTCCGGGGCGGAGCCGGGGCGGGCCTGGCCGAGCGGAGCCGAGCCGAGCCGAGCCGAGCGGCACTATGATGGCGCAGCGGGCACTCCCGAACCCCTACGCGGACTATGACAAGTCCTTGGCCACCAGCTACTTCGACGCGGCCGGGCGGGTGAGCGGGGCTGGGGTGAGGCGGCTCTGCCGTGGGGGTCTGCCCCCAGGCCGTGTAGAGCTAACACCTGTCTGGTTCCAAACGCTGTTCCCCAGGGATACCCCGTGTACCGATGCCCACCCGCGATGCCTTCACGTTTGGTGGGTTTTGTCTCCACAGCTGACCCCCGAATTCACGCAGCGGCTGAATAACAAAATCAGGGAGCTGCTGCAGCAGATGGAGAAGGGCCTCAAGTCCGCCGACCCGCATGACTGCACGGCGTACACTGGCTGGACAGGTAGGGTCGGTCCCCATGGAGCAGCAGCTCCCTGGAGCTCACCTCTAGATGAGCTCCTGGCAGACCGTGGGGTTTGGCCATTGGAATGGTCACGGTAGATCCATGTCAAGAATGGCACTTGTTCTGCGTGGTTTAGTCCATTTGAGCAAGGGGATGTCTTTCTCAGGACTCCCCATTTGCAGAATGAAGGCGACAGTGTCACAGGGCAGGATTAATAGTGCTGGACTCAACACCACGGAGAAAGCCAGCAGTTGTTTCAGTGTAAGCACGGAAGCCTGCAAAGGGACATGTTCCAAATCTAGCCATGGTGGGGATGATGACAACAAAACCAATGCTCCATCCACTGCCCCATGAAGTAGGCAGGTGTACACGGTAAGTCATTTACCTGCAAGGAGCCCTTGCATCTGGCAGCAGTGAGCTTAATGGCCTGAGATAATGTCTGTCTTTTCTGTTGGAACTGTAATTTATCTGATGACCTTGTCTGATGGGAAGATTGCTCCATTCCTATTCCCCAGGTAGTGCCACTCCACTTAGGGAGCTCTAGCTTTGCTCCAGTGCCTGCCAGAAGGAGCAGAAATACTAATGTGAGTATAACAAAGTGTGGAAGCCTTCCTTGTACTAACTTGTTTGCAAAGCTTCCAGGAGCTTGTCTTTCTCCTATTCTGCATTTTCAACCTGGTTTTCCTTCCTTGGAAGTATGCCCTGCCTTTGCCTCCCTGTTTCTACCCAATGGTGCCATGGAGGACACACCTTTCTCTGTGCCCCAACTTCAGCTGCTTCTGTGTGCTTTCACATCTCTCCTGCTTTCTGTGCTATGCCAGGCCCTATTCAGGGACCCTAGGATAGTTGAAATCAATCTAATGCTTGCTGCAAGATTTTTTTGGTGCTGCTGCTTTTCTTTTTGCAGTATACTGCAATCATAAATGGCAACTTTCTACAGTACAATCTGGGTGTGGCTGGCTTGTGTGTGGGTGCTGTGGAACTTAATGCCAACAGTTTGCTTATGAGAGTGGTGTTCAGTGTGTTGGTGCTAAACTAACGTTGCAGCTTGATGACAGCAGTGCTAGAAATGCCTGCTTCAAAATTTTAGTAAGGCAGACAGGCACTGAAGAGCAGTTCATAAGAAATGCTAGGATGCCAGTATTAAATTCCAGCGTGGGAGAACATTGATTTCATCAGCTGCTGTCTTGGCAGCACTCTGCTGCTGCTGCCAGTGAATTTATACATTTCTGCTGAGTGCTGGCTGATTCCCCCTTGGCAGACATGTTCAGTTTTCCAGTCTGTGTGACCCTGCCCTGGGGTCCCCTCTGATGAGAAGCACTGCTGTGGTAAAGGTGGTCTTCAGTCATGATTGCAGAAAATTCAGGAGACAAAGCAGGAGGATAGTAGATGTTAGGAGTACTCTTGGGGAGAAGGAAAACACTTTTCCCCAGAGGCCATGTTCCTTTTCTGAGGGTGGTCCTAAGGTACTTTGTGTTGGAAAGTGACTGCAGTTATGAAGCAGTGGCTGAGAAATCTGGTTCCGGATTTCAGATTGTTTTCATTTGGAAGGCAGTTTCTCAAGAGGGATTCTTCTCTTTTCTTCCCAGAGATCATTCCTCAATGGGCACACAGCCTTCTTGCCTTGGCTAATAGGAAAAAATCCATGGGCAGATTTCCTGGAAGTCACAACCAGCGTGATGAAGTTTGCAGATGTCACGCTATAACTTTGTCACCCTACCTTCCTTTCCAGTTCTAGCTATATTAATTTATTCAGAGCTGGTTTCCAGAGACACAATTAATTGGGCCAAGACAGCAGCTTTTTCCTGTAATTGCTTGTGTAGGAAAGGCTTGTTGAGTATCTCCTCATGTGAATCATTGCCCAGCAGTCTGAAATCAGCCCTCACTCTCGTGGCCGCTAATAAGGGAGATTTGAAATATGGCTCTCTTGGCACAAACTCTGTGAGATGTAACGTGCTTGAGTGTACTACACTGCACTCAGTAATGCACAGCATATGCTGGCATTTTACTTTGGGGCTCCTTTCCTTCCCACCACACTTGACAGAGCCCTGTTCCCCCAGCGTGTGCTGTGCCAGGGAGGCCACGGCTTCTTGGCACGTGAAGTTGGAGCAGAGGGAAGGAAGAGCTCAGGTTTTCAGCTCAGAGGCAGTGAAAGCACACTTTGGATCAAGATTATCCAGTGTATGGCTGAATGCCCTCAAAACATACTTGAATCAGCTTGTTACATTCTCATTCAGTTCCCCATAGAGATCAGGGCCCCATAGGCAGCCCCTGCTACGTGCCTGGTACAGACCAGCCTCAGCTGTTGTGTTCTGCTTTGGCTTTTCATCAGTTTAGGGAGGCTGCTGGAAGAGGTTTTTCCCTAATCTGTTTCACTGGTATCATGGTGTTGACTGAGGGAAGCTAAACTGCTCTGAGCTAATTCTGAGGCAGAAGCAGATCTGGTAGAAGCACAGCAGCCTCTTCCATTTCCAGGTTAGCCTGAGGATGCTGAGGGATACCTGGATGCCTTTTGGTGTTTGTAATAATGCAAAAGGCCTTGCTCTTGCTCCAGAGATTGTCTTGACTGAGAGCAATAGCTGATGGAAAGGGAGTGGAAGGAGTTCACTCCTGTCACCAGGTGACTGCAGAAGCCAGGATGCTCCTGAGTCCAGTGCTTACTGATCTGTTGCATCCTTCCAGGGTGATGAGGTATGTAAGGGAGAGATTCACCTTCCTATACACTTTGGTAGTTCATTTGGAGTTTGTTTTCCATGCAAGCATTCACTTCTCTGGCAATGTCTTAGTCACAGAGGGCCTCTGAAACTGCCCAGTGAGTTCAGCTGGCCTGCCCCATCCACACCTTTTGGCTGGCCATTGGCAAGTAGGGACAAGGAGCAGGGCTTAGTTGCCTTTTGAAAGGAAAGCCATGTGAAAATGAAATTACAACTGAACCAGTTCAGGAAAACTTTTGGAAAAACACTTTTCATTCACTTCAGTGCAATATGTTCATTTTAACCTCAGAACCCAGAGAACTTACGTCCCTTTTAGTCCTGTTCAGAAAAATGTAAATCCTCAGATAATCCCTACAGAACAAGAGAAAGTGAGGATGCATTTGCTCAGAGATAATAGAGTGCCTTGGGTCACTCACATAAACCACATTCCTGCCAAATGCTTGGCAGGTAGTTTTTGTGAATTTTCTGTTCTTGGAGATAGTCAGTGTTTGACTGGACAAGGCCCAGAGCAATGGCATGCAAATTTGAGGCTGACCTTCCTTTCAGAGGGTTGGACCAGATCACCACTAACCTCTGCTAACCTAACCTGTTGTAGGATTTTGTTTAACAGAAAAAGCTCTGTTTTTAAGGTTTTAAGGCAGGATAAATGCTTAGGCATGCTGGATGATCAATCATGCAGTCAGAAGAGAAGCTGCACACTGACTCCCCAGCCAGTTCTGAACATGGACTTCCAGAGGTGCCTCACTGTTGCATGCAGTGTGGCTTTGGCATGCTGGTAGGAGTGCAAGGAGCATCCCATGTGTCTGCACCAGGAGAGATGCTAATTATCCTTTGAGCTGGGCAATAAAGCTGGGCCATCCATGCTCTTTTACCCCATGCCTGGCTTAATAAAATGGCACCAGCTGTCTCACTAGAAACCATCAGGCTTCATCACTGTGTAGATATAGGATTCTGCTTCTGCCCTCTGTGTTTGACATCCTGCTTTGAGGCTGCTGGCTGATTTACTGCCCTGGGTCAATGCAAGATCTCTGAGATCTTTATAACTCTAGGTGGTTGGTTTGGAACAAAATATCCTCTTGTGGTAACCTCCTTTCCTTGGTAGAAGAAGCGCAGCTCAGCTCCTGCTGGGCAAGGAGGCATGTTCAGAACAGTCTAAGGGCATAACTTGCTTGCAAAGCAAACTGCTTGCAGGCCAACAAAAGAGCAAGTCTAAACTTGCAGAGAAGTTGAGGCACAGCCTGTCTTTGATCAACAGAATGATCATGTGGATGAGATTCTCTTTCTGCCTACTGCAGAGCTTTAGCTCACATTTCTGCCTACTGCAGAGCTTCATCTCACAAGCAAGACCTTCCCTGGTATTTCCAGCAGTGCCTGCTCTGTTGAAGGCAGTGGTTGCTGAAGTCAGGGCATCAGCACAAGCTGGCTGTAACTCCGGAACAACTGGCACAATTGTCTGTAACTCCACTGCCCCACTCTAAAGAAATCTCTAATGCAAAGTAGTACCTACCTCTGCACCTACCCTGCAGGAGGGTGAGGGGAGAGAGGTGCTGTTTACTGCCCTTCTGAAGGTGTTGAGTAAGCAGGCTTTGTGAGGCACACAGAATTGACTTTGGCCTCCTGATTCCCTGCAGTGAGCAAGCATCTCAGGCATGGACACTCAGCTCCTGTGTACTGGCTTTCTGCATGCTGGAGTGGCTGTTTCAGTCAGCTGAGCCCTGTTGGTCTCTCAGCAGCACATGTTCTGTGCAGCCCTGTACCATCAAGGGCTCTCTGGTGCATTCCCCATCTCGTTCAGCTCTGCACAGGGGCTAGAAGCAAAAAAAATTGTACATCTGAGAAACTACAGAGAAAAAGGTCCAGTAGTAAACAATCAACAGGACAAAGCCCAGACATCTTTGGCAGTAGCAGGCCACTGGATGGTAGTTCTGAGTGGAAACAGTCAGAGGTCACAAAATTGGGTCACATTTCCAAGTGGAACACTGAACATCAGACATCCAGGGCACACAGAAATTCACAGCCTACCTAGCTCCATGTGTCTGGTGATGCTGTGTTTGTGTACCACTTAAAGCATGCCAAACACCAGTCAGTCCCAAACCTACCCAGTCAGTTGGGGTGAGGAGGGCATTGGAGAGGGAGCAAGGCAGAGCTGTGGAAGAGCTTCTGCAGAACAACACTGCCTTAACTGAACCAAGTTCACTGCCTGGATACTCTTCCCTGTGACCTGCACTGGCTCTGAAATGCTCTGCCTGCACCTTGGCACACAGGTTAATACCAGATATCCCCCACCAGGTGACTTTGTTTTGTATCCCTCTAAGTACACCCGTCAACATTGCCTCTTCATGCTTGTGCCTGCCCTCCTCTGCTGCCTTGTCCCCTCTGGGGCTCACAGGTGGCAACAGAAGGACCAGCAAGCTGAAGGCACTGCTTGTGCCCTTCTGATCAGTTTGGGAGGAAGGAGTTCTTTGATGGATTGTGTTGATTTGGCATGGCCTGGTTTATGGTAGCAGGGGAGGGCCACAGGGGTACCTTCTGTGAGAAGCTGCTGGAAGCTCCTACCATGTTCAACAGAGCCAATCTCTGATGGCTCTAAAGATGGACACACTGCTTGCCCAGTTACAGAGGCTGGTAACTCCTCTGTGATGACATATTTAAGAAGAAAATGAAAACAGAGCACAGGCAGTTTATTCCCCAAGGGTGGGGAGGCACTGTGGCTGCTGCTATGCTGGCACAGCCTGTGGCAATAAAAGGGCAGAGCCAGGCTGGCAGCTTCTCCTTCCTGGCACCCCACGTGTATGGAGACATGAGCCAAACAGAGAGACTGCAGATCACACCTTATGTCCCTGTGGGGCCTGCACACCTTGATTTTATTTTTAACACCTCTCCACATGAGGAGAGGCGTTAAACAGCACCAGCACTGCTGCAGCTGCCGCTGCCCGTGAGATGGTGTTGTGGCTGCCTGGCCAGCACAGAAACAGGATGGGCAATTCCCTGGCATGGAGCCTAGGTGAGATCAACTTCTCAGTGCTACAGGATCCTACAGGAGTCTTTGAATTGGTGGGAGTTGTTGACAGTGGTACTACAAGCAGCAGTTTTTCTTCTAGTCAGAAAGGAGGAGGATGTGAGGACATGTGGGCGAAAACATGGTCAGTGGAAAGAAAGAGGGAGAGAAGGTTCTCCAAGAACCAGAGCCAAGGTTCCTCTGCAGGCTGTGGTGAAGCAGCTGTGCCCCTGTAATGCATGAAGTTCCCAGGGGATGCAGAGATCCACTCACAGCCCTTGGGAGAAGTGCTCATGCTGGAGTGGGTGGATGCCAGAGCAAGCTGTGATCCAGTGGGAGACCTGAATAGAGCAAGGGGGCTCCTGCTTCCAGAGATGGACAGAGACAGGGGCCTTGCTTCCAGACTAGAGCAGCCTGTCCTTAAAAGACTATACCCTGTGGACAAGTGACCCATGCCACAACAGTTTGGGAATGGCTGTCTCCCATGGGAGGGACCCCACAGCCTAGCTGAGAAAGGGCTCCTCTCCCTGAATTAACAGAAGATCTTGAGTGATGAACAGACCAAAACCCTCATGCCCCGTCTCCCTCCACTGTCAGTGGGAAGGAGGGAGGGCCTGGGGGGTAAAAAAGTATTTTAAAGGCTTATTTTACTTCTCATTATCCTCCTCTGACTGTTAATAATAAATTTACTTTATACCTTTACATTTGAACACCCTTAGAGTGTTTTTTTCTCCCAATCTTTATCTCATCCCATGAGTCCTTTGTTAATTTTTTTCCCCTTTTCTCTGCCCAACTGTAACAGAAGAGAGTTAACAACAAACAGCTTTCATGGTACCTGGAGTATTGCCAGTATCAAATGACAACAGGAAAAAAAATTGAGAAAACTGGCTTTAGATGCAGTTTGTAAGACCTTTCAGTTTTAAATAAAAAGGAAAAGTGAATGTTCTGGGAAAGCAGCTTCATCCTTTAGTACAGGTCAGTGGTTTTTTGGAGTCTTTCCAAAGATGCTTGGGCCTGAGAGGATAAGGGGTGAGAAATGTTATAAAAGAGAAGAGGCAAAGAAATCAGAGGAAAACAGTGGTGAGATCTACTTTCTAAGAATTCAATCCCTGCAGTGGTCTTGGCAGGATACTTATGTGCATAATTAGGGTGGTATGATGGCAGTGGGAATAGAAACTACTTACAAAGCTAAAAGTTCTATATTAAAGCAGATAAGTCAAGAGTGCAAGTTGTGCTCAGACAGCTATCAGGCTAATAAGAGTCTAGAAGATGTGCTAGGTACTAAATAAATCAAGGAGAGTCACTTGACATTTTCTAGCTGGAAAAGGAGGGTTCCCCTTTAAAGAAGGGCTTCATATCCACATCCTTACAGACTTGAGTGATGGCACTGTACAGCTGAGCTCTCTCTAGAATTGCCAGCACTGAATTGCTTAGAGAGAGAACAAGGTTATTAGCTTCAGCAGGAAATGGAAATTTTATACATAATGTACATGTGGAATTGAATTGTCTGTAACATGAAGCTTTGGAGATTACCCATGCAAAATGAGAAAATTATCCAAGTTTGAAATTGTCCTCAGTACCTTGGACTTTAATTCTGTAGCACGATTGCCCCCTTGACCTTAACACATCAAAATCTGTAGAGATTGGCTCTATTAATTTAGGCTTAATGCAGGACCTGAGTCTTCTTAGAAATGGTTATTGTTAAGGGGAGAAATAAGCTCTTCTCAAAGTGATGTAGGCCAGTAGCTTTCTTCAGTGCAGGTTTGAGGATGGCTCCCAGATCAGAAGGAGGGTTCAAGTGTGACAGACCTGTCAGGCACAGACTTACTGAGCTCCTCATTCACCTACTGAAAGCCTCAAGAGCTGGCTGAAGACAAGGCAGGCCGAGGCAAAGGACAGCACTTGATGTGACTGCTCAGTAGCAGAACTGGTTTTGTAGCTGGCCAGTCCACTGGAAACCTCTAGTGAGGACCATGCAGCCTGTTGCAGTATTCCAGGCAGCTGTTTGTGTTTCAGACAGGGGCTGATCTCACAAGTGATTGCTGCAGAGGAGAATTGGGCAGTCCCTTTTTTCTAGGATGCACCAGTTCTTGCTTTAAGGCTTGGGACTTGCTCAACAGCAGGAGATGATGTCCAGGGAACTGCAACAACCTTGCTGCTGCTTCCCAGTGGAAAGGAATTAAAAAGGATTAATGAAAGGAAAGTTTTAAAAAGAGTCGAGTATGATGTCTGGATGTCCTAAGGATGCTGTTTCTCAGTGCTGATGGTGTGTCACTTTTTAAAAAAATCCAATCCAAGCTAAGTGGCCCATCCCCTTACCCTCTGACCATGGGGAAAAGATAGAGAGGGTGACAGCTCAGTTCTGCTCTGTCACAAGTACCATCTCCCCAAGGATGATTTTTTTCCCCCTTTCGCTGTTGAGCAAAAGTCACAGGTACAGTGTATGGATTTAGGTGGGTTTGTCTAGGTCTCATCTTTTGCTCCTTGCTATGAAAATTGTATGTAATTGGATATAAAAGAATTGTATATGAAATTGTATGTATATTGTAAATGAAAATATACAATATTACATGTATATATGTAATTGTATATGAAAATTGTATGTAATTGGATATAAAAGAATTGTATGTATATTGTAAATGAAAATATACAATATTACATGTATATATGTAATTGTATATGAAAATTGTATGTAATTGTATATAAAAGAATTGTATATGAAATTGTATGTATATTGTATATGAAAGCATACAATATTAGATATATATATATGTAATTGTATATGAAAATTGTATGTAATTGTATATAAACATTTATACAGTTCTGTTCTCCAGGCCTTCCTGGTCAGACCCTGCTGTCCTCTTGTCCTGCCATCCACTCACAAACAGCAGCAAGTTACAAGGAGATGAAAGGAAGCAGTGGGTTATGTCCCTCAGAAGTCTGTCTGTCAGGCTTATACCCTAAATGAGGGCCAGGCCAGACTTTCAGCTTCACTGAAGTAACACAGCCAACATTTCTAATGGATGCAACCTTTCTGTTCCTCCTGCAGGCATTGCTTTGCTGTATTTGCACCTGTTTGATGTGTATGGAGACCCAGCCTACCTTCAGGTGGCCCATGAGTACGTGAAGAAGAGCCTGAGGTGCCTGACCAGGAGATCCATCACGTTCCTGTGTGGTGATGCTGGGCCCCTGGCAGTGGCTGCTGTTGTCTACCACAAGCTGCAGAACCAGAAGCAGGCAGAAGACTGCATCATCCGGTAAAAGCCTTGCTCATGTCTCTGTCCTGACCTTCCTCTTGCTCACAGAGCTGCTCTGGGCTTGGAAGAGGCACTCTCTGACAAATGTGAAGACATTTTGTTGCAGTCTTGTGTGAGAAATAATCCAGTAACTTAGCAAGACAGCACCAACTTTTCTTGCCCTGGTGAAAGAGGTGGTTTAAGGACAAACACGTTTGCATGGCAGCCTGCAAGCCTCTATTGTTCAGCTGCTACTGCCATCTTAAAAATAATTCTGATAAACACAGGAAGAAAAAAGTGCCAAAATTAAAAACAAAAACAAAAAAAAAAAACCAGAAGGTGGGGTTTGGTGGTTTTTGAGAACATTTTAATTTAGCTTTGCAGTCATTTTGATGAAAAGGAAAAATGTGGTAAGATTATTAGATTTAATTTTGGTACTTGCTTCCACTTGCTCTTTATTAGTTGTCTTTGACTTAAACCTAAGATTGACAGCATCCCTTTCAACTTCAGAATGCAGCTGGTTATGATTCATTTATTTCTATTTCCTGCCTTTCCTCGACTGTTTTCAGATGCATTTTTGTTGGGTACTTAAGACAAGAAAAGGACAAACAAGCAGCATGTGGCAGAGGAAGGAAAATAGTTAAGGAGATGTATTTGCAAGCATTTCTCAGTTAGGGGAGATGGGTTTTAGGAAGGTGAGAAACAGCCCTGTAGAGAGTTTCCACTCCTACCTGATCAGCACAAAGAAAGACAAAACCCCTGATGCTTCAGAACACTGACTGCCCTTAAACAGCCCTGAGAAAGTGATGCATAATAGCAATTAAAATAAGCCACAGGTGGGAGTCAGAGGTGTCTGTATGGTTTGGACACCAAGTTCCACTCCCTTAACTAAGAATATCTTCTGGTTTATGCAGATACAATCAGTCTGGGGGCAGAACTCTTTCTTTGTTCTGGTAATAATCTGTGGGTTAGATTTTGCTTTGACAGAGTGGCAAAATCTCACTAAGATTAACATATTTGTTAACAAAAAGAGAATTAATCTGTCAAACAATACTGGTCAGCTGTGGTCAGTGCATAAATCCCAGGTTGTAAAGCATCTCTAATTAATGTTTTCTTGCTGAGGTCTCCCTCCCCATATCCCTCTTGTTCTGCCTGTGGTTTGGTGGCAGAATGGAATCTCGTGATTAATTTTGCACTGCCATCTAATGGTGTAATAATGTCAGAACACTGGAAATTGGTTTCTTCATACATCTGCAAGAGGAAAACAGAAAAATGTGGCTTTCTCAAATGAACAGTTCTACTGTCCTTACTCTGCCACCAATTCCCAGAGCAGTTAGCCTGACTGTGCTCCTTTAAAATAGAGTATTTCTTTTCTTTGAGAAGTGGCTCCCTAGATCAAAACTCTTAAATGGTTTTTGAGTATGCTCTTTAGTTACAGAGCAGTTGCTAAGCTGTGCAGTGCAAGTGCATAGAAAGAGCACTTTTATCAGAGCTGTGGAGAAGAAGGGCCTCTCTGCATTTTGTCCTCTATCTTTTAAAGCACCTCATCTTTACAGAGCCAGTGGAGAGAATCCATCAGCCAGGTTTTACCTTCAGTGGAACAGACAGAAGCTTGCTTTTTCCTAAATGAGTTCATGACCAAAAAATGTGCTTTTATGCTCTAGAGACACTAATGTTTCAGGGCAACCTATTTTCCAAGAGCCTGTGAAATTGTGAGCCATGTTCTAGGGAGCCCTCTTTTTCCTGTCACCTCCCACCAATTCAGAAGGTCAAAGCTTTGCTTTCAGAGCCAGTGGTGTACAAAAATCCCATTTTGCTCTACAGCTGCTTTGATTTCCCTCTGTCCAGAAACTGCTGATTGTTGACAGTTGAGGTGATAGGCTGATAATGTGAATAGGAGTGGCTCATTCTTTCAGAGACCACAACTTACCCCACACACCTGAGAAATGCATTCTGCATGCAGTCAGTCCAGCAGCATCCAAGGCATCTCTTTCTGAATGCATGACCATGTTTCAAAAACAGCAGAAACTCCTGGCAGGCTTCCTCTCCTGATGATCCAGCTGGAAAAGCAGTTAGAGGTAAAGCAGTAATGCACAAAGAACAAAAAAGTGGTCCAGTTGCTCCAGACAGGCAGGGAAGTTCAGCACACACAAAGCTCTTCCTGGCTGGTTTCACAGCTGGAAACAGGCAGGGAATAGCCTTAAAGCCACTTCTGCTGGTATTTTAAAAGTGATGGCACTTTTCAGATTGCTGTCTTACAGGTGAACAGAAAGATAAAGCCAAATCCAATCACACTGCTACCTGCTGCCCTGACAGGAAAAGACATCCAGTCTTTCTGGAAGTGTGATGAGAGGTAAAACAAAGGAAAAATTGCATCAAGAGTGAATGGGGCTACAAAGCACCCGTGTGAAGTGCTGTCAGTCTCTGTTAACACTACAGGAATATCACCAGCTTTGCAATATCATAATACAAAAGTGGCAAACAAAATACCATACTGCAGCAGACTTCACTCTGCACTAGTGGGCTAAAGCCTGGTGCCAGACAAGCTGTCCTCAGCCAGCCACAGCATCCCCACTTTGCTAAGGTGTCCTCACTGCTGCTCAGTTCTTCCTAGAAGATATTTCTTCCATGTGCCACAGCAGCTTGATGTTGAACATGTGTAGCTTCACCTCTTACTTAGATTTTTAGCTCATGAAGACACCTCTTTCTCACCTGGCAGCATAGCCCAGGCTATTTGTAGGCATGGAGAGGAAGGGGCTTCTCTATCAGGACTTGAGAGCATTAGGGGTGAGATTTTTCCACATACCATTAGCACTAGTTTGACTTTCAAATAAATATTCCTTAGGCAGCCAAATTAAGAGGATAGCCCTATAATTTGAAAGTGGTGATTTTTGGCAGAGTGTCCCCCTTGCCAATAACATCACAAGGAGATAATGGTGAGCAGCCTTTTCTGACCAGTCAGCAGCTTTATGCTGACCATTTCTTTCAGCCCAGGTTTCCCCCTCCTGTAGCTTTCCAAGCTGGTGCTCTAAGACCCAAGCACATAGTATGAGTGCATTGGGAAGAGCAGAGCAGACTGAAGCAATCAGCCAAACAAAAGGCAGAAGGGAAGGAGTGATTCCACACCTCATGCAGTGGAAGGCTGAGAGCCAGAGCCTGGCCTTTACAGCTCCTAGGGCACAGCAGTGTGGGATTCACATTCTCTGAACCTGAGAAAAGCAGAGAAAAGAATGATCAAAACAATTCTTACCTCTTTTGCTGTGCCAAAGCAGAATGCAATATGGAGATTGTTTACCCAGAGTGATGGTGTTTTGTTTCCTTGGCCTGTCATGACCAAGCACATGTCCAGACTGTCAGTCAGCAGGCAGTCACAGGATTCTGGGCAGTTGAGTTGAGCTGGGTGCTTGTGCAGATTCAGTTTAGATGAAATGTAATATAGTATAGAATAATATAGTATAATAAAGTAATTAATTAGCCTTCTGATATCATGGAGTCCTCCTCATCTTTCTCCCTGTCACGGGGGTCACTTTGATTTCCGATACAGCAGCATGAAGGAATGAGCCAGGGTTTTGAGCTCCAGCCTCAGTGCTTGTTTCCATGGCTTTAAGTGTGATTTTTGAGTGCATTTCCCTCTCATCTCCCTCATGGGAATGTTCCATTGCAGTTTGCTGCACCTACCCAAAGCTGACCCCCGAGTGATGGTGTTTTGTTCCCTTGCCCTATCAGGGCCAAGCGTGTGTCCAGACCATCGATCAGCAGAAAGTCAACAAGATTCTGGGCAGTTGAGTTGAGTTGGGTGCTTGTGCAGATTCAGTTTAGATGTAATGTAATATAGTGTAATATAGTATAGAATAATATAGTATAATAAAGTACTTAATTAGCCTTCTAATACTATGGAGTCCTCCTCATCATTTCTCCCTGCCATGAGGATCTCTTTGATTTCCAGTACAGCAGCATGAAGGAACAAACCATGGTTTTGAGCTCCAGCCTTAGTGCTTGTTTCCATGGCTTTGAGTGCAATGTTTGGTTGCATTTCCCTCTCATGTCCCCCATGGGTATGTTCCATTGCAGTTTGCTGCACCTACACAAGGCTGACCCCCGAGTGGTGGTGTTTTGTTCCCTTGCCCTATCAGAGCCAAGCGTGTGTCCAGACCATCGGTCAGCAGGCAGTCACCAGGTTCTGGGCAGTTGAGTTGAGCTGGGTGCTTCTACAGATTCAGTTTAGATGTAGTGTAATACAGTATAGAATAATATAGTATAATAAAGTAATTAATTAGCCTTCTGATATCATGGAGTCCTCCTCATCTTTCTCCCTGCCACAGGGATCACTTTGATTTCCGATACAGCAGCATAAGGAACAAACCATGGTTTTGAGCTCCAGCCTTAGTGCTTGTTTCCATGGCTTTGAGTGCAATGTTTGAGTGCATTTCCCTCTCATGTCCCCCATGGGAATGTTCCATTGCAGTTTGCTGCACCTACACAAGGCTGACCCCCGAGTGCCAGACGAGCTCCTCTACGGGCGCATGGGCTATCTCTCTGCACTGATATTTGTGAACAAGCACTTTGGAGAGGAAAAGATCCCTCAGAGCCACATCCAGCAGGTACTGTGCCTTTTGCTGCTTTGTTATCTGTCTCTTCTCATATAATTCATCTTGGGGCAGCTAAAAACCAATGCTAGATATAAAGAACTCTGGCAATAAGGGGAACCACATCATGCTATACCTGCTTTTCTTCCAAAGGGACAAAGCACTGCTGTCCATGTAAATCCATGGGCAGTACTGGACTGGCAGACATTTCATTCCACCCTCTGCTTGGGCAGAAAAACAAATCTTGTTCTGTGCCAGAATACTCACTGTGCTGTGTCCAGGGCAGCAACATTTCCCTCACCCACATTTGTTCCCATCCCTGCACAGGTTTGTGAAGCAGTTGTAGCCTCAGGAGAGAGCTTAGCCAGAAAGAGGAACTTCACAGCAAAGAGCCCACTGATGTTTGAGTGGTACCAGGAGTACTATGTAGGAGCAGCCCATGGTTTGGCTGGGATCTACTACTATCTCATGCAGGTAAGAGACATGAGGGGATGGGCCCTTAGCACTGTTTCACATTTCTTTGAACAAGGAACAGCATTTGAATTGGCTCTTAATAATGTCAAACTGGGAAAGATACCTTGTCTGATGGACTTACCCATGTGTTTATCATGCATTTCCAATTGTAAAGGTTTTCTTCAAATCTAAGATTGAATCTCTGACCTTGGAGATCTGTGGAGAAATGTGACCTGCATTAACCAGCAGTGTCACATAATGAAGGCCTGTAGCTCTGCTGGGTCTGAGTTTCCCCCTCATGTTAATTGCTTCTACATTATTCACATTTGTTGGTATCTGCTGGCTCCCTGCATTTTCTGAGGTGGTTACTTGGTGCAGAATGAGAATCCCTGAAAGAAAAGCATGCTGAAAAAAATTGTGCTCATAGTAGGAAAGTGGGAAATGCCTTTGTATCCAAAGCAGAACCTGCTTCTAAATGTGAAAGAGGTGGGACTTTAATAAAGCAACTGAGTTTTGCAGTGCCTGAAGCAGGCAGAGCAAGACAAGAGACTGGGAGATGCAGTACCCCTTTGCTTTGATGCTTTCTCACTATTTTGCACAACTCACTGGAGCTCTGTCAATATTCCCTATTCTGGCTCTGAAAAAAAATGAGGGTGATAATTCCCCTGTGTGGGTTCCTTTGTGCATATATTTACAGTGCTCAAGCACTCAGAAAAATAACAGCAAAAAATAACATTGAATTCTTCAAGCATTAAGAGCACTCATGAGCAACACAAATTATTTTGGTGTAGAAATAGTCTTTAATCTTTTATTAGACTTAACTCTGAGAGCAGGTGGAAAAGGAAGCCACCAGGCTTCAAGCATTTGAGTTTTCCTTCAGGACTGTCAAAGTTAAAGCCCATATACAGGATCAGTAGCAGTCCTGTGAATATAATGTTTCTATTGCTCAGAGAGGAAGAGATGGTTGGTGGTTTTTAAGAAGATTAGATTTAGAAGATCAAATTTAGATTTAGAAGATTAAATTTAGGAGATTTGGCAGGAGGGGGATGCAAGGTGGTTATTTACCCAGAAGCACAGAATGGCAAGCTAGGAGAAGGGGAGACAGCAATGTGTTGTGAGCCTAAATTTGTACCAAGTCCCTGAGCTTCTTCCCAAGTAGCTGTTTAAATAATTTTAAGTCTCCCATAAAATACTCATGGGCTTTATGCTTCTCTGCTGTATGAAGTAAAAGGAGCCTGGATCAGCCAAGCATGATGCACAGAAAGCCTGGGAAGAAGCAAGAATGTGAAATACGGAGAGGAAAACATCTTTTATCTCTAATGGCTTTACAGCCCAAGTATTGATTTTTAATTTTCCAGTTACCAGCCTGAGAACAGTGTGATCCTTAGATGAGAGTGTTCATTGCAGTCTGCCATGGGAAATCAGAACTGCACAGATTTCATGTGGGGCAGTGTCTTTGGGACACTGAAGCCACTCCCTTGCATTCATCTGAGGTCAGCAGTGAAGTCAGCCTCTTGAAATCACCCAGCAGCATCTGTGAAGATTCAGAATTGCAGCCTGCCAGCTGGGCTGGCCCAGCAGCTAAGGGCTGAGATGCTCTAGGTGCAAGGAATCATCCTTAATACTGATTTTAAATTTTTATCACTTTACTTCAGCTCTGGGTACCTGAAGCTATTCCTGCTTATCTTTAGGAAAAACAGCAGCAAGCTCTTTTGCTTAGAGGACCAGGTGACATGCTAGGAACAGTCTTTATTTCTGGGATGCAAGGGTAGGACTGTAAATAAGTCCCTGCCAAAAGGCAGAACAGCCAGTGACTGAGTGGGTAATTGTGAAGTGTGAAAGCTCAAAGCAATTACTTCATTTACAAGGAGCAAGAGGGAATGTAGCCATAGATGACTTTGTTTCCACCTTTTGGGCAGACCTTGGGTCTCTTAGGGACACACAGAATGGTAATTGTCCCTGATTTAAGTGTTTTCTGTCTCCTAGCCTGGCTTTGGAGTGAGCCAAGTGAAGCTGCACAACACAGTCAAGCCCAGTGTGGACTATGTGTGCCAGCTCAAGTTCCCATCTGGGAATTACCCCCCCTGCATCGGTGACACCAGAGACCTCCTTGTCCACTGGTGCCATGGAGCACCAGGTGTGATCTACATGCTTCTCCAGGCATACAAGGTACCAGAAACCTTGCAAAGACCCTTCATGTGAAACTTCCTCTGGAGAATGTGCTGGGACACCTCCTTTGCTTGGAAGTAGGATGGCTTGTTACAGTGAAATCACCCCACACTAACCTCTGAGACAGAAATTAGTTTTTTAAACAAATATTTCTGAAAATACCCATCAGTTGTGTGGGCTGTCCTGTTGAAGGTAATGGATGGTGAGAGCTAGTTGTGTGTGGAGTAAGGGTCTTACATCCCCACTCATGATATCAAAAATATCCTCCTTAAATAGTAAACAGCGCAGTCACTTCAGCAGGACACCCAGGCCTCTGCATGCCACAGGGATGCTCTTTGTTTGGAGGGCATTGCCTCAGCAAGGACAACTGTTTCTTGTCTCCACAGGTCTTTGGGGAGCAGCAGTACCTGAGTGATGCCCTGCAGTGTGCAGAAGTGATCTGGCAATATGGGTTACTGAAGAAAGGCTACGGGCTGTGCCATGGCACAGCTGGCAATGCTTATGCCTTCCTGGCACTGTACAACCTCACTCAGAGCATGAAATACCTCTACAGGGCCTGCAAGGTAAGGCTGTGTGAGGCACTAGAGGGCCTTATTCACTTCTGCCTTCTACATCACTGCCTTTGCCTTTGAAATGCAATTTCTAGTGGGGCAGACATGCAGCTAAATCTGACCAGCTGCACCAGAGTAGTCCTTCAGCAGTGCAGTCACTGTCTGACAGCCTGTACAGAAGAGATTTTTCTCAGAAGCCTTGCTCTGCAAGGGGTAGTGTGGGGACAAGGGATAGAATTTTCTTCTCAAGACTTGCCTTTAACCAAATTTGACCCCTTTTTGTACCTCTTTTGTCAGTTTGCAGAGTGGTGTTTAAGCTATGGGCAGCATGGGTGCCGGACTCCAGACACACCATTCTCTCTCTTTGAAGGTAATTTCAGTCTCTAGCCTTCTGTTTTGCTCCTGAACCTAAGCTGTTCTCTCTCTCTTTGAAGGTAATCTCAGTCTCTAGCCTTGTTTTTTGCTCCTGGATCTAAGCTGTTCTAGCACCAAGGAAAACAGAATACAAGCTCCACTGGAGTCCTTGCAAAACTCAGTGTAGGGGATGGAAAGGAAATTGTACCCACCAAAACCCAAGAAGGGTTTTTTTACCCTTGCCCAGAAGCAGTCTCCCTGTAACACAGGATAATGTCTTAGCTGGAGCATCTTGTCCTCTTAGGCCTCCCAGATTTACATACAGACCTCAGGGAGAATTCTTTCATGGCTCCTTTTGGTTATTTGTAGCCTGGCTTCTCTGTCCTCTGTACATTTTTAAGGATTGAAATCCTTGATGAGTGTTCCAGTTTGATTCTAAAGGTGAGAGGAATAAATGGAGCTGCTGTTATGGGCCTTGGTGGCTCCTGTGGTGCTTTGTGCCTCCTGCTAACAGCTCCCCCCCAAATCTGCCATCAGCAGGTATTTGCTGAAGGAGCCAGCCCCCAGCTAGCCCTGATCTCCCCAGGGGAGAGGAAAACTTCCATCAGTCAGGACCTTGGGCAGCAGTGGCTCAAGGACCAGAGTTTGACAAAGCTGCCCAGTGTTGAACTTGTGGATGGGTAAAGCAGAAGGGAGAGGGCTGGAGTGGGGAAAAGACATTGGCATTTTGCCAGGTGTTTTTCAATGTTTGATTAACCTCAAAATGCTTTACCACACTGAGGTACCAAAGTTGCTTGGGAAACCTGGGCTCAGACCTTGAAAAATATTTAGGACCTTTTCTTTTGTGAATCATAACTCATTCGCTCCCTGGATAACTGAGAAAAATGGTGCCCAAAGGGAATTTCTCTGAAGCACAGTGTGTTTTTTTCATCCTCAGGAATGGCTGGAACAATTTACTTTCTTGCTGACCTGCTGGTGCCTACCAAGGCCAAGTTCCCTGCATTTGAACTCTAAATCTGAATCCTGCTTGGCAGTTTGCTGCCCTGTGTCCTTCTGCACTTGGAAATGCAGTTCAAGGCTGCTTTCTCCTTTTTCCAGACTCACCGTTGTTCGCCTAACTGAACGTGAATCCATCCTCCTGGGGGCATGCTGAGTTCTCTAACATTTCTAGTTGTCTCATTACATTGTTTAGTTTTAAAGATAGAATGCAGATTTTGCTGGTGTCCTTTAAAAACTCAGGGCTGCAGGTGGGAGCAGGGAGAACTGTACAGTATTTTGTTGGCTACAGAGTTTTGCTATTTCCTGTTTCCCATTTCCTGGGAAGAAGTTTTCTATTGAATGTAACCTGGGCTATTTAACCTCTTTTTATGCTGACAAATAGTTGCAGGAATTTAGCTGCCTTTGGAGAGCAACAGATGGAAAACTGAGAAGTTTTTTATTGCCTGGAAGTTGTTTTCAAGTGTTTTTTTTCTGAGCACCCAGAGAGCAGATGGTTCAGTATCTGGGCTGTGCCATGTGAAGTCAATGTGCTGGACTGTGGAGTCTTACGTATATTTTTAATGTCATACTGCAGCTGGCAGAGCTGGAACTGACATGCCAAAGGCTTGTCCTGAGTTTGCACCTATCTGCTCTAAAGGCAAAGGCTATGTATAGCTCTTCTGTGCATTTGTTCCAGTGACAGACAAGTAATCCACTGCCATCTTACATGAAACCTTGCTATTCCACTGGTCATCCAATGGCAGACTCCAGTCCAAAAGTGAGCTAAGCATGCTTGCTTTTGTGGTCTCTTCTTGTTAGCTTTGAGAGTTTATTTTGCAGTCTTTATTTAAATTTGTGTATTAGGTGGTGCCAGGTGCCCACCAGCAGCAACAAGGGAAAAGAAATGTAAGCCACTGAGTTCTGACAGTGTTTAAGCTATTAGCTGTATAGATGTTATTTACATGTTTTCTTTTATAAGCTTTCCCAAACCTGGATCATTTGAGTCACTTGTTTGCCTTGCTACTGCTTGTTGTAGTTTGATTTGCAACCACTCATCTACCCAACTGGAAAATCTGCTCTGGGTTAATTGGCTTTGATGTCTCAGGCAGGTCAGGTACTTGCAGGGAGTAGATGTGCTTTTCCATCCTTAGTTGATGCTGCACCAGTTCACAGAAATTTGGGACCTGGCTCTGTAAATCACTTTCTTAGCACTGAGCATAAACACTGAGCTCAGGGAAGTTTACAGATGCAGCCACACAGCTTTGTGCTGTTTGAGAGCAGCTCCTCAGCCTGCCCAATGTGCCCACGGGTTTTGATCTTTCAAGAGCTGAGCTGCTGAGTGCCTCAAGTCCCAGAAGGGCAGGGGAGAGACAGCAGGGCAGCACAGACACTCTCCTGGGCCAGCAGTGACAAAGCAGGGCCACCAAAGCTGGCAGGGTCACACTCACACGTGCCTGAATGCAGGGCAGCTGAGCCCAGTGGCCCAGGGAGCTCCATGAGAACCTCCTGGGTAGGCAAGGAGCAGAAACCAGCCCTGGAATGCTGATTTGTTTCCTCAAAGCCCACACTCCTGCTGCCTTTCCAAAAATCCATCAAAAGACGGCCTGGATTGCAGAAAAGCTCATCTCCTTGAGGGTGGGCACCCCTGTCAGGAGGCTCAGACTCATGGGGACACAGCAGCAAGCATCCCCTGTCACTCACAGGACTGAGCAGCACAGGGAGGTGACTGGGAAGCAGGGAGGAGTTGCCTACTCAAACAGCACTTGAAGTTACCTCCCAGCTTGGCTGGTGTGCTGGCAGTGCAGGGACACTGCTCTGAGCCTGGGTTTCTCCTAGGCACCAGTTCTGTAAAAGGAGATGGTTTGTGCAGCCTGGGTGATGGTGGCATGGGAGCACAATGTCCCAAGGTTTGTGCACCGATCAGGGGAGCATCAGGGCCATGTGTACAACTGTTGAGTGGAGCACTGTCTAATAAAAATGCTGAAACAACCAAACTCTGGGTTATTTCTGCCTCCTGCTTTGTGGCCAGGATTCATGTCTGAAGAGATGAACATATCCCACAACAGCTGTGCTCTGCTGGCAGCTCCTGGAGGCTCAGTGGCCTTCCACCCACCTTGAGTGTTAAGGGTATTTCACATTTTCCCCTCATCTCCAGTCCATCAAGGCCAGTCCTGGGCTTTCCCTTGCAGGCTGTGCTTTCATCCCAGGGCATCCTTTTGCACTGATATCTCCATCCAAGGCTGCATCCTCCCTCTGTGGCTTCCATTGGAGACCAGAGTCCTGCAGGTTACTGTTGGTTGCACCAAAATACACCTGTTTGCAGGGCTGGCCACCAAAAGGAAGAGGTGGATCCTAAAAAAGCACCTCCTGCTCAGTGAAAGGAGGAGCAGGGCACCTCAGGGAGGCTGTGACTGTCCAGCAGCAGAGGCTTTAAGACCAAGCTGTATGGATAGAGGTGATCCTGCCCTCCAGCACAAGCATATATTAAGTTGCTTGAGGTCCCACACAACCTGGTTTTCTATAGTTTCTATTAAAGTTTGTGGTAAAGGTCTTGAGGAAGAGAGTCAAGCAGTGAGGATGAGAAAGCAGCATAGTGCAGTTTCTCTGGTTATCCTTCCTTTCTCATACAGGGGTTTGGTGTGGTGCTGCCCACTTCCACCCACCTTCATGCCAAGGGGAGGAAGCAGGACCATGACAAGGTTTGAAAACTCAACTGGTCCTGTTTCAACAAGCCACCTGAGAGGGACATTATCAGAAGTGTAGATATTTGACACTTGTTGCTGGTTGTGTTTGTCCATGGTGGTGGTCTGTTTAAAAAAAAAATAAATAAAAAATAAAAAACATATAAAATAACCTATATTCCCAAGAAACAAGTAAAAACATATTTTGAATGCTTTATCATCTGTTTATGTTCACCTCCTGTGTATGCAAGTGTGATCAGCAAGATGAAAAACATCCCATAGACTGTTAACCAAATGCCATCTGTATGTGTGCATGTCCCCTGGGGGCCCAGCATGGTTTCAGCTCTCAGGAGCTGACAGCAGCCTCAGTTATCAAAGATGTGACATAGAGACAGTGCAAGAGAGCAACAGAGAGTGCTGTGTCTGCCTCAATTACTTCATTTCTCATTCCTACATATTAACTTTTTAAATGCCCACTAACAGCTATCAGCACAGACACTAAATCAGTGGCTAACATAATTTAAAGTTTTTGGCAAAAAATCCTGCCATGAGCTGTCCTCAGCCCCTGTAGCCTTAGCAGTCAGACACACTGAGCTGATAAAGGCATTTATGAACTACCACTGCAGGGATTTCATGCAGCCTTTGAAACCACTTTGGAGCAGGCTGCTGGCTTGGCTTGGCAGTTGCTCTCCCAGAGTTAATAGGGGAAAAGCACAGCAGAATAGGGAAAAGCACTGCAGAAGAGATCTCAGCCTCCACAAACCCCAGCTCATCCCCCTGCCCCAGAACAGACTTTCTACCTGACAGGCTTGGAGCTGAGCCAGGTGGAGAGTAAGGGTGGCACATCCCACATCCAGTACACAAAAGCAGCTCTGGGAGAAGCATCCAGTGGGCCCCAAAGCTGCTGGCTTACCTGAGTTATCCAGCCATACCTCACTGCACCACTGTCACATCTTTCTTACTTCCACTATTTTTTTAATCCATGTTTTTGCACCTCACTGTAATAGCTTGGCCAAATCTGAGTGGGGTTCTTTGATGGCAACACCCAAGAGAACATGGCTGGCTCCCAACACAACCACAGGTCCTGCTCCAGGCGAGTTCCCAGCACATACAGATAATTTGTAGCAAGAGTTTTTTGTTTTTTTTAAATACGTATTTTAATTTTTTCACATTGAGAAGAACAATACAGGTTCCTCACCTCTTCCTGCCCATAATGTCCAAGTCCTTTGGCCAAAGTGTCCCCTGCATTCCTTTGGCTGCACCCGTGAAAGAAACCTGAAGGCCAGTAGCAAAACCAGGAATTTTAACCCCCGAGTTACATCTTGCACATTATTAGTGCCTGAAGACAAACTCCAACAAACCAAGAGGCAGCAGATCAGCTCAAAATAAGCACCTGGGGGAAAAGGCTGGAGCCCAGCCAGGCTCACCCCAGCAGGGTACTAGGCTGGGGACTATCAATGCAGGGTGACCCCAGTGTAGGGAATAATGTGCTCCATGATTCAGAAAGGCTGAACAAATGTTTCATTAAGCTATATTACACTAATAATAAACTAAATTGTATACTAAAAAGATACTACACTATACTGAAGAAAAACCCATGACTGTCTCCAGACAGTCAGACACAGCTTTGCACATTCTACATGTGCAAAACAAGAGCAGTGAATAGAGATAAGAATTGTTTTCCCTCATCTCTGAGGTTCTCACTGCCTTCCCCAAGCAAAATCTTAGGAGAGAGGATTATGTGTCTGTTCAGAGGATGTGGATGCCGCAGGGGACCCCTCGCAGGAGGGCGTTGGTGTCCCCAGCAGGTGGCAATGCAGCCTGACAGCACGGCCACCCTGTCACTTCAGGCACACACCGCGCTCCTCAGCTGCTCGCTCCTACCTCGGGACAGCTCGGGTTCGGCTTCTGGGAAAGGCACTCACAGAAAAGCCCACACGGGAGAGGCTGTGTTTGTGTACTGTGTGGGATGAGACGTGTGGCAATCAGGGAAGCCCTTCCGAAATGCACGGCCTCTGAGTCATATACAGCCCTGGGAAAAAAAACAAAACAATTAGGAAATCTTTCCCAGTCCTGCCTGAAGCCACCCAAGCTTCCCATAGTGCAGGACAGCTCATGCTCAGGTTATCAAGGAAACACTCCACACACTGGGTGGCAACACTTTATCTCCCCACATCGGTTTTACAGACAACACTTTATCTCCGCACATCAGCTTTACAGACATTACACAAGCCCTGCCACCAACTCCCAGCCTGCAGGGAATAGAGAGCCAAACACTCCCTTTTCCACAGCCCTTCACTCTTTGAAGTCTGCTGCACCAAACATACCTTCCCTTAAATGCCATAGGGACTGGGGACATCCCAGAAGGGCAAGAGCATCAAGAAAATCCAACTGGACATATGTGTAAGGGCACCAAGGCTCACCACTGGGGTATTTGTCAAGGGAAAAGCCCAGCTTAGGTAGAGCTGAAATGGCTCCTGTAGATGGGCTTGCAGTGCTATCTCTCTGCCCAGCAGGGCAGAATTTTGGCAAGGTGGTGCCAAACTGATTCCTGATAAGGGACAGGCAAAACACTACTGAATTGCAGGGGTTTCCCCTATTCCCAGAAGAGATTTGGAACAGTTTTCTCTGTAAATGAGGTGTTCCACCTCTATGTGACACTCCCAGTAGTGGACAGCAAGGGATTGATCACAGCAACCTTGGTCTCCCTCAGCTGCTGCTTGCCTTGGGAATTTCCAGGCAATCCCCTGCTTCAGCAGTGCAT